CTTGTATTTTGCATGTGCGCGCACACTTAGTCACAAGTTTGACATTTTTGGCGGTTGGCAAATTTGTAACTAAGTGTGCGTGCACATTCAAAATACAAGCACTGTGTGCGACGCACATTGAGTGTGAGTGTGCACACTACTGTGTGCGTGCACTGACAGAGTGAAAATAACAGCCCTGTATGGGAGCCATACTTTCATGCTACCGTAATGACGTGAAACTTTGCACAGGCTATTTTTTACATTAATAACATTCTGAAAGTTTGAAGAAATATCAATCAAAATTAGGGTTACCTCCTATACAAAATTTTCAATTTTTGGCTCAAAAACGAATATTTTGTATGGTAGGTACTGTGAAAAATCTTTTCCGAGTACTTCTGCTATTAAATTACAACACATTTTTTGGCCTCAAACTTAACGTCGCCTGAAAGGCTTGAAAAATCAAACAAATATTATTTTGAACTAGCTTAATAGAATACGCATCTACCACCGTGCGGAAAAGTTGGTCTTACTCATGTAAGACTCTTTATTTTTATTATTATTTCTCAATTCAGTGTCGCAATTTTTATGTTTTCAGCTATTCATTGCTACGGATAAGTAATTCAAAATGTATTACACAAAATTAACGTTAACGTGGTTTAACTTCTTGAAGTGAATTGAAATAAACATACATTTAGAAAAGAAAATCAAAATTAAATTGCTAGTTGAGATGTCTCTTTCTGAAAGTGATGCCTTTTTAATCCTTGGTTTGAAACAATGGACCCACTGCGTTTGCTCTTCTTAAATGGCCAATTTTCCAAAATAAATGAATGGTGGCGAAATAAACGAGCTCGATAATGCTAAATACAGAAATGCCCATAAATAATCCAAGCAGACCGCCACAATACGCCAAAAAATCAGCAAAACTTAATGTTTCATTCCTTGTCTTTTTCTTTACATCAAAGCCAAAATTGATGCCAGATGCGAACACTTTGGATCTACAATAAAAAAAGAGAAACAATTTTATTCATGTTTGGAGTTGTTGATAAAGGGTGACCCAATAGGATTGATAGGTTTTCCAATGAAGATATGTCGAGACCTGTCAATGCTATATTTGATATTTATGTGTCAAAATATTCAGCATAGTTTACAGTTTTACCATGAAATGCTGCGGAAAGCATTTTTTCTTAATTTTCACCCCAACTGCAATATTTTGACACATGAATTTCAAATATAGCATTGAAAGTTGACTGGCCCCCAAAACACAAATTTTTCATCCAAATCGTTTGAAACTTCACCAGTGGCAAGTGTTTGATGGAAAGTGACGATTACCATCAATTTTAAGTCGATATGGTTGTGCGAAGATATTTTTATTTTAACTGACAATGACATTTTTCAATGAATTCACATAATGACCTACCGAGCTCTTTCGGCACCATCTAGCGTTGAGCTATATGCATGAAACTTTACACACATTATTTGCACGCCATATGGAATAGTATTTCGGGGTAAGAGCGAAAAAATTTCAACTTTTGTGTTTTGGGGGCCAGTCAATTTGACAGGTCTCGAGATATCTTCATTGGAAAACCTGTCATTCCTATTGGGGCACCCTTTATTTTCACGGCAATTAACACTAATCGCAATTTGAATTTGTTGAATTAATTTAATCGTAATAGTTATATACTCTGAAGGCCATCCGAAAAATGGCTTTAAATTTTCAAAATCCATCTGAGTCCTCCAAATTGTTGCTTGGTATTTGATGAGTGTACATGCGGGCATACAATTGCATTTATTACGAAACATTTCGCCCTTTTTGGTAGTGAAAAGTTGCCTTTGGGCTAGTTTTAGACAGTTTGTTCGTAATCCACCACAGATACGTGTGTTTTTATCCCCTGCAAAGTGAAACAATTCTATTTTCACATCAAATCGAACATAACAAGTGCACATCGACACATACTTGGCATCGAAAATTTTACGCATCCGCACCCGTTTCTAGTGAAATTGGTCAAACATTCCTCTTCACAGTTGATTTGCGAATAAATTCTAAAGAAAGCCAACTGGCGCTCCGATTGATAGAAACATTTTCGTTGATCAGATGTGTAGCGCCGAATGTTGTCTGACGTTGTTGACAATTCGGGTTTAATAAGAATTCGGGTAGCTTCCGAATGTTGTAGTTGAATGTAGTTACTTGAAACTTTCAATGCATCACCAGGCGTGGTAAAAATGACTTTAAATTCTCCGTAAAACCCGCTGCATTTGTAGTCGATGTCGCTTTTGTTAGTAACAAAGGTCAAAGAAATAACACCAATTGATATGGGAATTGGATATTCTCTTCCACTAAATGAATTTTTATATCCGGTATCCAAGGTCCATTGTGACACATTGGGATTGTGTTTAATGAACATCATTTCCGAAGCCACTCTTCAATCAAAACAGTTAAGAAATATAAGTAATTTCAATCCATAACTTCAAGAATAAAAAAATTGTTGATCAGATCTTGCACTGAGATATTTGGAGTCAACAAATATGGTTCTGCTGATTAAGAAGTGACAAAAATATGTCAGTACATTTTCTGATGTTGAACAATAAGGTGAACATACTGATCGGTGTATATTTCATGTGAATTCAAAGCGTTGAAAGTGAAACAGATCCCTTCCTCCGTCAAAGTCGGAACCAATAATCTGGAACAAGAAATCACACGATCACTCCACTTACATTGAAGAGTTGTGAGATCATTAGCATTTTGCTTAATTGTGTCATAGATGGAGTCATTCGCAAAATCACCGTCGAATGTAATTCCCTCGGACACAAGGGGGCAAATGTGAGCCACGGCATTCAATTTAGATTTTCTACATAAAATCAAATTAAATTGATTAAGTCGAGCTCTGAGAAAAGAAGAGATTCTACAGAATTTCTTACTGAATGTCAGATAAATTCGAAATCGAATTGATGGCCATTGTTACATCAATTTTCTCCCTTGTGGTCTTCGCTGCTGGGCAAAAAGTGATCGTTGGAAATGGAATCTCATTAAGATCGGAAATCATTTCATTTATTTCAACCGGATTTTCTTGCCATCTAACCCACTTAACATGAATCATTGATCCGCACAACCAAAGTGAAACACTAATGGCAATCATCCACCACCCTCTTTGGATTAAAAGAAACAAATATCGTTGTGAATGACAAATTTGAGCGAATAATTTGGAAAAATACAACCTTTCACTCCAATGTAACGTTGCTTCGGCTAAATATTTCAAACCATGAATGTTAGACTTCAAGCAAAAGTCTCTGTAAAATATCCGAAATGCTCGAAGAAAATGACGCATTCCGTTTACCTGTTTGATAAAAAACCAAGTTAAGTTATGACTTATGGACAAAAGGTATTGAATAAAAAATTACGAAATACCGTCCAATATTTGGAACGTTGAATTTCGCCAATTGTCGTCTTTTCCAATGGTGCTTTGACTTTTCCTATTCTCGGGCGGTAAATGATCCAGAACAAACGAAGTGTAAAATAATAGACAATTTCGATGATGCTCAATAGTGAAACGCCCAGAAATAATCCAAGCACACCGCCACAAAACGCCAAAATATCCTCCAGACTGTATCTATTTATACGTTTTTCAATTTTCATCGTTTCTTGGTCATCAAAGTAGATAGACAATCGAGTTATCTCTTGACTTTGAATGATGAGAAATAGAATAGATATTAGATAAACTATTTCTTGAACATATTGTACCATATTTTAACGTTTACCCCATCATTTTAGATTTCATTGCTTTTACTTCACTATCACTTATCTTTACACTCGACATTTCCAAATCGTAATATGTATATTTACAACTTGGCAAGCAATTACAATTAGGTGATTCAGTCCATGCAGTTCTATAACAATCAATACTTGCTCCACCACAGATTTCTGTATCGTTATCCCCTGTGAAATGAAAAGAATAGATATGCAATCAATTAAATTGTATGCAATTCTCAATTGATCATTCAAATTATGTTGTTATTTGAAAGGCATACTTGGTAAACTAAATTTCACACAGTCACATTTTTGCTTGGTAAAATTTGCTCTGCATTCCATATTGCAATTAGACTGTGTATAAGTTTTGAAAAAGCGTAATTTTCGCTCAGATTTGAAATAGCAGTTGCGTTGTTTCGGTTCATAATTGCCCAATCCATCCAAAGTGGCAAACAGCGTTGGTTTAATTATTATTTTGGTGTCAGTGAATGGTTTTATGTAATTAAGACTGCTTTCGATAAGTTCCATGTCACTTGGTGCATTTAGACCAATCTGAAATCCATGATTTCCACCTTCGCAAAACGCATCATGGTCGCGTGTATTCATTGAAAGAACTATATCAAGACCATGTTCACGACCTGATTTAGGCACACGATTTGGATATTCGCTACCATTATATTCGCCATTATAACCAGTTTCTATGCTCCAATTTGATAAATTTGATCGAGCCTTTGTATTTATCAATGCAGAAGCTGACTCATCTGTATAAATATCACGCGAATTTAATGCATTGAATGCAAAACAAAGACCTGCACCAGTCACCATTGGTATGAAATATTCAACACAATTAATTTTCTTTTGCTGCCATCGGCATTCATGCATAGTGTACGTGAGATTGGGAGCCATTTCTTCAATTAAATTGTAAATCGAATCATCAGTGAATTTATCCATTTTTTCATTCAGCTCTAGCGTTGGGACAGAGTACAATTGTATCAGTACATCTAGTTGTGATAACCTATATAAATTGATTGTCGTTCATTTTTTTACATATATTTAATAAAGTATTGATGACATCTTACTCCGTGTCCGATAAATTCGCTATTGGCTCGAGATTTTGATTGAATTTTGATGATATGTCTAATTTGGATTTCAATGCTTTCATTATGGGGCAAATTGTTATGGTTGGAAATGGAATTGACGAAATGTCTGCTGTTCCATCGATATTCAACTTAAATGGATCCTCATTCCACTGCGTCCAGAAGTTTTGAATCATTGAACCGCATAGCCCAAGTGATAGACCGAAACCAATTGTCCACCAAAACCTGTGTTGGATTTAACGACATTTCTGATTAATATCTAATAATAATGGACTGAATAATAAATAACTGAATTGAATCGAATCGAATCGAAGAGGGAATCTCACCTATCACTCCAGTGCATCCGTTGGGTAAAGTATTTTAAGCCGTGGATGTTTGAATTTCCGCAAAAATCCTTGAAAAATATTTTAAACACGCGAACAAACTGATGGATCACAAAAAATATCGCATTTACAAATATTGATTTTCATAGGCACAAATTTTCTAACTTTCGAGATTTAAATTTTGGATTTTCATTCTAACTCTATTTAGTTGGTTCCTTATACATATCGTCATAAATACAAAAAGTTGATAAACAACACTTTTTTTAGTGGAAAATAAACATAAATTTGTGCGTTTTATTGATATTAAGATTAAAATTTATGAATTGAGTCACTTACAAGATTCATATTTTGTATTTTTGCTCTGAACCAATTAAGATGTTCCATTTTAATATAATATTATCATACCATACAGCACTTCTTCTAAATATGAGTTGCAACACTTAGACAAACTGAAGTGAACTGACGTGGAAGGTATGCGTTTAAACAGTTTAAATCTATGGTAATTCAACTAATAAATATCGAACTGTAGTTGGCTTTTTACGGCCGAAATTGTAATCAAAAGGGATAACTATTTGCTTTTACAGGGAAGGCCGTAATAAATATCAATTTCTCTTATAAAACTCATCAGAAAACCATAATCAATCAAAACAATAATAAATAAATGTTTCGATATCAATAATGTTGTTTAATGTATCTTGAATATTATACCTATCAAAAATGATTGTAGTTCACGTCCTTAGCTAATGGTTTATCCCTTATGAATTGATATTCCCGAATCATCATTAATTTGGACGTCTATATACGCCCATCGTTTAGTATTGTATGCGCTCATCCAGAATTCATGTAAGTCTCCCTTCACCATAAATAGGGTGGTCCCTAATGCATACAAATTCGAATTTTGGTTACAATTTTTCAAAAACGGAAGAATCTTCAAACAATTCCAGACACTCTCTTCCCTTCGATTTTGGGAAATTCGGTACATGTTATGTTCGCGACATATAAAAAATATTCACATTACGACAAAAAAACTCTATTTCACTTCAAAAAATCACAATCTTGTAAGTCAATTCGCACGCAAATGTATTTTGATAAATAAATAAAAGCTCCGTTTTTTGTGACAACTGGCCTCAATTGCATTTCAATCGATTTGCCTTCAATGTAATTTCTAGATGCAGCTTTTGAGTTGACTCATTTCACATATCGATTGATTGTCATTAAACTTGATATAGAGTGTCAAAAAAGGTTTTTAACTCCACTAAATGTCTTTATAATTATTCTGCTGTTCAAGTCGTTAGAGCAAAATAGTTTTTCACGCCAAAATATCCTTCCAAAATGGGTAAATATTATGCATTTTTAGTATATTCCGATGAGATCACCAAATAAATATCAATATTTTTCTCTTCATTACAATTTCTTATGAAAATAAACACTCAATTCACCTTCCTTCTTACAACTTATGTGTTAAAGGGTTTCCTTCATCATTAATTCATGTAAAGATTAGAGTTATATTGAAAATTATTTTGTTTTTTGTTTGAAAGGGTTTGAAATAAAATGGAATCAACTCTGCTCATGCGAGGACGAGTAATTGTTTACGTTAAAAATATTCGGAATGAAAATTGTTGGTGATATAGAAGGTGACATAGTGCTACAATTTTCGTTTCTTTGAGATATGTGCAAATAATCTGAATAAAATACACAGACTCATAAGTTGAATTGACATGTAATATAATTTGAAGTTGCGTTCACACTAGACCACGGTTGTGCTTTTCGAACTGAATATTCTAGAATTTTCGATCTGTCAAAATGCTTTGGCGCTCACACTCGTGGTGACGTTTGCAATAGCACAGTCTAGTATCCTGCACAGACGTAGTAACGTTGAAAAGGTTGTACTTATAAGCTTTGAGGCATTCTATTCAGTTTTTTGAAGTTAATTAATTTATTATAGTGTGTATTTTTCACTTTTAATCAAATTGATCCAGTCATTTTATGTAACTTCATTCTTCTACGACAGCATAACCATGTCTTCAACCACGATCAAATTCATCCATAAAATTTCAAAAATCAGTGAGTTTGACGAGCAATTCACACCTGATGTTATGATCCAAGGTGTGCCATGGTGTGTTCAATTCAAAAAGATCCGTTGTTTACAAGAGGAAGAATATATTAGTGTTTATTTGTGGTGCAAAAATGAAGATGAGTCACGAAATTGGTCACACACTGCGTGTATGACAGTAAAATTATTGTCATTCAAAAAAAATGTGAAACCATTTGAATATTATTCGCCAACATATATATACCATCACACACGTAAAGTTGGTTATGTTACTTACATCACCAATTGGAAGCTATTATCCAACATTGAAAATAGACTTGTGCATGATGGAACCATCCGGATGGAGATTAAAATTGAAGTCGCCAATCCAAATTATGAAAACAGGAGCATTTTGGAGTTTGACATTTTGGATAAATGTTGTGCACACAGTGGTCAAGCGTCGTTCCGATTGTCTGTTTCCAATATCGATGCATTGATGGCTGTTGAAACGTCAGAATTC